GTGAACAGGAGACTGTCGTTGTGGAGGTCCCATCTACTGAGGGATCGACCTTGACCTCGACCTGGACTGGCTCTACTACCAGAACTGTGACCTTGAGTGCTTCTCAGTCTGGTGACCAAGACACTGTTGTTGTTGAAGTGCCTGCGACTGCTACTGATGCCTCAACCTTGACTTCCACATGGACTGGCTCTACTACCAGAACTGTTACTTTGAGTGCCTCGCAGTCTGGTGACCAAGACACTGTCGTTGTGGAGGTTCCAGTGACCGTTGCCGGTGCCTCAACTTTGACTTCTACTTGGACCGGTAGCACCACGAGAACATCGACCTTAACTGCCACTCAATCGGGCGACGAAAACACGGTTATTGTTGAAGTGCCTTCCGATGGAGCATCTACGTTGACTTCTACGTGGACCGGATCCACCACCAGAACTATTGTTTTGACACCAACTCAATCGGGTGATCAGGAAACCGTTGTGGTCGAGGTTCCACCATCTGGAACTCCAACATTGACATCCACCTGGACTGGTTCTACCACCAGAACTATTGTTTTGACACCAACTCAATCGGGTGACCAGGAAACAGTTGTGGTCGAGGTTCCACCATCTGGAACTCCAACATTGACATCCACCTGGACTGGTTCTACCACCAGAACTATTGTTTTGACACCTACTCAATCGGGTGACCAGGAAACCGTTGTGGTCGAGGTTCCACCATCTGGAACTCCAACATTGACATCCGCTTGGACTGGTTCTACTACCAGAACTACGACCTTGCCACCAGCCGGCACTGATACTGTCGGCACTGTCGTGGTTGAGGTTCCTTCTGAAACCGGAACTCCAACATTGACTTCCGCATGGACTGGTTCTACAACCAGAACAACTACTTTACCACCAGCTGGTACTGACACAGTTGGTACTGTCGTGGTTGAGGTTCCATCTACCGGAGACTTTACCACCTTGACATCTACGTGGACGGGTTCTGAACCTTCTACTGAGACCAAACCACCTTCGGGAACGGACACGGTTGGCACTGTGATTGTCAACATTCCATCTTCGTCTGGACCATGGGACTTGACCAATACCCCCGTCCCTCCTACACAGACCAGTATCGGACTCACCTCCGTCACCACTGACGCTTTCACCACCAACGACCCACAGACGACAGAGAATCCAGGTTTGACAACCACCAGCCCAGGCCAGGACACTCCTGCTGCTACTACTGAATCTACGGCATCAACACCCAACGTACCAGGTGGTGTCGACACATCATCTTTGACCAGCCCTAACGCGACGCCCGACGTTCCACACGACACGACGACCACGATTAGAACTGGTACTACTCTGGATGTTCCGGTGCCAACAACAGGTCCTGTTACAGGCGGAACCGAGCCTGCCCCTACTAACGGTGGAACCGAGCCTGCCCCTACTAACGGTGGAACCGAGCCTGCCCCTACTAACGGTGGAACCGAGCCTGCCCCTACTAACGGTGGAACCGAGCCTGCTCCTACTAACGGTGGAACACAGCCAGCTCCTACTAACGGTGGAACTGAGCCTGCTCCTACTAACGGTGGAACACAGCCAGCTCCTACTAACGGTGGTACCGAGCCTGCTCCTACTAACGGTGGAACACAGCCTGCTCCTACCAACGGTGGAACACAGCCTGCTCCAACTCCAGGAACAGGTGGTGACAACACTGAGGGTGGACCAGTACCATCGGGCACGCCATCTAATCCCGAGAACCCATCTCCTTCGAACGGCCCCGGTGTGAGCAATGGACCTGGTGGAAACACCGTTCCTGAGCAGCCAGCACCTGCTACTGACCTGACCATCTGTAACTACGGCAAGTGTGTCACCATTTCTGCCACTGAAAGTAACACCGGAGCTACAGGTACTGATGAGCCTAACCCATCGATCGCTATCCAACCAAGCGGTTCGCAATATGGTAACCCACTGGCCTCTTCTCCTGCCACGGGAATCCCAGCCGTATCCTCATACGAAGCTTCAGCCTCGAACCTTAAGGTATCAGGACTTTTTGCTATTTTCTTGACGTTGATTCAGATAATTGTTTAAGGGTTTCATCCCTATTTCCATACCAAGGGAGAGTCTCAAAAAGACCCCCTATAGATATCCTTTTTAATGAAAGTTTTATGTATTTTGAAGTAGTCGCTGATGCATCGTTCAGTTTGTCCTACAATAAGTAATTTGTTTGAAGTTTATGATAAAAAGATATGAATTTATTCATCTAGACAATTGTGCACATGAAAGGCACAGCACCAGGACCAGCGGGCTTATTCAAGTTGTTGTCCTTGGGAGCGTTGTTCTTGTTTTGAGTAGTAGTTTGAGCGGCCATTTTGTTTGATTTTTGCGTGATGAAAACGTAGGGAAATCTGTCCATATTTATAGTACGAATTGTTTCAGACTTTTTCATAGATAAAGGCTTTGACGTTTCAAATATTTCCATATTTGGGGTCTCAATGGCACTTTGTTTCATGACTCTTTCTCATTTGGCGTGGCAATGGACCGAGACTGGAGTTTGGTTTCAAAAAAGGATTTTTTTAGTCATTGAATAAGTCGAATATGATCTGATTCAGATTTCTGGTTCCATACTACCTCCGAATACTTGGTGTCCTTGAAAGGCAATTCCATGAGTCTTCCAGCAAAATAAGCATTTTTTTCTTCCACAAATGACACGAACACCCATTTAAATCGAGACTTCTTCAGCCCTCCCCACTGCTGAATCAGCAGCGGAGTTCGGTCCACCAAAAACACCCTGTAAAAAACGCGGTATCAAAAGATAAAGTATCGAAAAGAGCAAAAACATTGCAATTAGCGTCCAGGATTGCCTCAAGGCAATACCCAAGGCGCCAAAAACGATAGCCACTATGATGGTTATTTCGTCTCTCACTCCAATCCATACCAATAGAATGATCACTGCAACATAAACGAGGG